GGATGGCCTTTAGCTGGTAATCTGGAAACACTAGACTCCACCACCAAAGAATTGGGAGCTGGATGTTTCAAAAGGAACGAGGTTTTTGCCCCGTGCACGCGGTACATGTTCTCAGTCCGTCTGGACATAGTGGGAGATTCAGCAGGATGCTCCCAGTATTCCATGATAAGGTCCATCAGTTCGGGAACATACGAAAGGCTGACTGGACGAGACCTGTCCTTATGGATGTCACCAAAAATAAGGTCATCCTCACGCGAAGGAGATTTCTCTATCTCCATCTTCAGAGCCGTGGCCATTCTTGAAACCATCTGAGGGTAGGAAGAAAAATCCTCAGGTGGGGAGGAAGGATGTATGTCCGCTGCATCAGACCCTAGAGGTTCGCCTGGAGGTGGCAAATCCAAGGAGGCCTCTGAAGTGGCATCATCTTCCTGTTCAGAGGAAGTGTGTACATCCTGACTGTCCTCGTCAGATGACTGGAGGATACTAGGATGGGATGTAGCATCCTTAGTCTTAGAAGGCTTGCGGGGTTGAGGCACTTGAGGAATGGGCTCAGGTACCGGAAGCACCGGCAGTGGAACTGCCTTCGGCTGAGGATCAGTCGATTTTGTCGACGTCGACGGAGCATCCTCAAAAACAATAGGGCGCTTGCGATGCCGGCATTTTCTCGGTGGCGACGTTGATGACGATGAGGAAGAGGTATAGCGGGACCTCTTCCGGTGCTGTCGGCGATCGCACGATTTCGAGGAGGACTCTGAGGAATAGTCCCTCCTACGACGTTGACGACGAGATCTCTTCCTGTCTCTGCTGTCATCGGAGTCCGACGTTGACGATCTCTTCCTGTCTCTGCTGTCATCGGAGTCCGAGGAAGAATTGTCTTGGCGTCTGTGTTTCTTGCGCCTGTCGACACCGGAACCGCGTTTACGCTTGCGGTGGTGCCGGGCCGGGTTTGGCGCAGGCTCCTCCTCTAACTCGGACGCTGGGTGCCAAGAGGGGGCCTCGACAGGCTGAACAGGTCTCCCTGGTATGGACGGAGACTTGGAGCCTGGGGATCCTGGTGTAGTAGACCGGGATCCTGACCCCAGCCCGGTCAAGATAGGGCTATGAGGGGCATTCGGCAAATCAGCCACTATCTTCTTCTTCTCCAAGTGGCTCGTTGCCGGTGGCTCTTGCCTGAGAGGCAAAGAAGGAGCCAAATCCGACGCCGACTCTCGGTCCCGAGAGGAATCTTCAAGTATCGGTGACGGAAGCGACGTCGAGATAGATGGAACGACGAGGGTAAGCTCTTTAGTTCTCGACGTTGACTTTGTCGATGCCTACTTCTTTTTCAGATGCTCCGACACCGGTGGAACCAAAGGCTCGGCCGATGAAAACAGCGAGACCGATGCGGAGGTAAGAACAGACGAAGTCTTTTTCTTCTTAGACTTATCTTTCGAAGACTGCCTGAGTCCCTTTCCCTTAGACGATTACGGCGCCGAGACGACTTTGATTTCGGAGCGCACGGAAGAGGTAGAGGGTGCCACCTCCATTTGGGAAGGCTGGGAAGCGGACAAAGTTTGTTTCCACAGGGAGTACTTCAGGCGTTGCTGACGTGCCTTGAGAGTGACCTTAGTGAACTGCTTGCAATGCCTGCAGTGGGACACCGCGTGCGACTCTCCCAGGCAGTACAAACAAAGTGAATGCCCGTCCTGGAAGGGAAGCTTTCTGGAACACGCGGTGCACATGCGGAAAGGTCCTCTCCTGGGAGATGGCTTTTCTTTAGGAGGCATAGACCAAGAGGAACGATGAAACTCCACAGTAGTGAGGCTCTGGATCGCCGGTAAAGGAAGCGAAGGTCGAAAAACCCAGCAGGAAAGTCCAAATACTAGATAATTGGAGAAATCCGGTAGGCGCGTGGCGCCTCAGCGGGAAGCCAATAAAGGGCTATTAGGACCCAGCGGGAGGCCGCCACAGTCAATTAGGTCAGGGATCACCCAAAGTTCGCAATAGACTCACCAGAGGCAAGTAAGCGTAATCAAGAAACGTTCCGTGGTCAGGGTAGCGATAATAGAAAAAGGAGAACAGCAATCTGAGAGGGAAAACGAACCAAAAGTAGTAGCTCTAACCGAGAGGTCCCAACTTCACTGGCGGAAAAATGGAACTGAGCCGTTGGCGGGCTAGTCATGCGCAGTATAGGGTAGCCTAAAACATTGTTACTTTTTCTTTCAGCTCTAGAAAATTCCGAGAGACCAGCGCAGGCGCTGTCTAAACCCACTAGTGTGGATTCATAGAGAACCACGTTGAAGAACTTATTTTTCTTGATTTGCAGCCAACCAGCAGTTAATTTTCATCTCAATTATGGTCTGAATCTTTTTATTTCATGACTCAGTTTAAGATAGCATACAATGAATTATCAAGCAGTCTTCCATCCAGACAGTGACCACACCCAGATCTGTTCAGAGTAGAGTAGCTGCTGCAGCAAACCATGCCCTGGGACTTCTGCAGGTAAATATACTTAACAAATTTAAAAGGTTTCTATCCTTTGAAGCACAATTTAAAGCGATGCGATCCAAGAGCCAAACAGCCATGCTACTCCCCCTTCTCCAGAGGGATTATAACTTATTTTTCACTTTCTAAACATTAAATTACCTTGATCTTTAACCAAGAAATTGGTAGTGACAAGGGGTGGCACTTGCCCACGGACTCCTGTGACAAATGGCTCTGACCCACGATTATTTCTGTCATCTTCAATTACCTGGATCTAAAATAGGAAGCAGCAGATTAGCAACGCGACCAATGCTATGCAAACTGATAACAATATGACCAGTTAGATTGCAACTGAAGAGAATTTGCAATCAATCTCTAAACAAAAGGTTTATATTAAACAAAAGACATTTATATTAATTTTCTATGGATTTGCTTTTGGCAGCTTCAGGAATAAATAAAAGCAACCTCTTAAAGTCAATGGTACGGACAGGCATATTCCAGCCTATAATTGAAGATATTGGCTGATATTCTGCTCGTAGCATAAACCAAGCCTAGAGAAGCAGGGCAGGGGTGCTTGTTTACTAGGGAGGAAGAGATGGAAAGTTAAGATTTGATTTATGCTATGAACTGGTTTTCAGCTAATATGCCTTTTAACCTGAAACCAAGGAATCAAGAAAAATCCTTCTCACTGGTCATTCAGCTGAGTCCAACAATTTCATGCCACAGCACTATGCTAATATTTTTGCAAGCAGTAGCTTGTCATCTCTTCCTTGTGTGTGGATTTTTTATGAGGCACCAGAAGTTTCAGATTAGATAATAACAACATGAAAAAGCTTCTATAAACTACAGTCTGAGACTGCAAATTTTCAATGAGATAACAAAAGCTATTTCTCTATTTCAGACTACAGATGGGAGCTCACATGTTGAAACATTATAAACAAACAAACAAATTGATCTAAAATCAGATGCCTGAGAGAAAGTTAAAGTGGATGCTACTTCACATTCAGCTGCCCCACTTCCTTTCTTCCTACATTTCATACTGTACAATCTGGACACGCTAATCCCAATGCCTGGAAAATAAATCCTCTCTCAGTCTTCCAAAAACTTCCTCAAAAAATTCTTATCTGCAAATTAAGTATAACCGTCCTGGGTTATTAAATAATATAGACACGCTACTCCTTTATCAAATTTCTGTCTCACTTTTAGCCTGTCATTCTTAGATCACAGTCTTCTGAAATCATGATCCCTATTACTTTGAAATCCTGTTCAAAGCAAAGAAGAGGGGCAGCATTATATAGTGGTTAACTAGTCATTCTTGTAGTCATCAGGAGTGGTTGGGAGAGAAACTCGGCATAGAAATATTTTAACTAAAATAAATAAATAAATAAATAAATAAATTTCAGGGACCAAAATAATTCTGCTTCTAAGACCCCAACGTAAAAGTAGTAGAGGAGTTTTTTTCATTGTATTCCATGCAGCATGGATTTGGTTAAAACTAAATCAATTTAAATCAAGATTTAAATTTTTTAAAAAAATGACTTTGACAATTAAACCTGGCAGATATGCTTTGATTGTATTCCTGCATTGAGCAGGGGGGTTTGGACTTGATGGCCTTGTAGGCCCCTCCCAACTTCACTTTTCTATAATTCCTATGATTTCTAAATCAAAATTTTTATTTTTTTAAATTTCAATTGTGATTTAAATCATTTTTTAAAAAAAGATATCCACCTTGATTCCATGAAACTATTTTACTTGTGCCTCCAAAGAAATTATGAAGCCTATAGCTGTGTGAGCTAATTTAAATCCCTTTAAATAATGTTGTGGCATTTTCTTTCCTATTAGAACAGTTAGCCCTCCTCTCCTCTGATTAATATACAGGCATGAACATAGGAGGATAAGACAGCTTACACTTCAAGTTAAAACACAACAACTAAGATACCATGTACAAACAGTGAGTGACCATGCTAAGAAGATTTTTTTTCTGTTCTAGATCTGCAGAAGAACTGAAGTTGGTAACACCACCTCAGTGTTGTAACTAACTTCAATCTGTTCTCAAGACAAAACAGAATAAAGACAGTAGGCAAGTGACGTTCACATATCTATCACAAACCAAGGTATTTTCTCTTCTATTAAAATAATACTGCTATGCAATATTCTTGTATTAGAAAACTTTAATAGCTTGCTGTTGTGAAAAAATACAGCAGATAATTAAACATACTAATGATTTCCACCTTCTCTCTTAAGATTTACTCATGAATTTGTATTAGGAGGAAGCATTAACTGAATGACAACTTCATCTTACTAAAAATTAAACCTGGATAGCTTTTTCTTTAGAATGAGTTCAAATTGAACACATATTCAATAAGATTTTTACTAAGGCAGAAGTCACACACATATAATACAGGCTATGCACCTTCAGTGGCAACTTCTTTTTATTACAATAGGTGAAACCGTATGTTCAGAATAATTCGACAAAGCAGAAATTCTTAGCTGATTAGACTAAATTCATAGAACAAAACAGATAAATTGAATATCAAGACATATTTAGTTCGTGAACAACGCGATTTCAGGAAGGGAAGATAACCATATGACTAGGTTACATCCTGAAATGCCAAGCTTCTATTATCCCTTGATTTGAGATGTGAAGAAGATTTCAGAGTATGTGGCATTTTATTTGGTTTATTATAAGGTTGTGAGGAGAAAGGAAGGTGGGATAAGGATGAAGGACTAACACCACAGAGGAGAGGGGTAGCAAGGGAGAAATTACTTTGCAGACAAACACACAGGCAGCCACCAACATGCAGACAATAGGAGACAGAGAGACACTGAACTTACTGGGCTAGGAATTGCATCTGGATCTATTCTGTGTCTGGGTTTCTGCTGAGGTGGCAGCTCATTGAGTTGCTTTTTTGTTTGTTTGTTTGTTTAAAAAGAGAAGACGAAGAAGTAAAATTGCCACAAAAAAAGGAAAAGAGATAAAAGAGTAAAACAAAAGTATCAAGCAGCGTTGCTCCTATCTGTCCCTACTTCCATCACTGTTAGATACAAGCATACTGGACAACAATTCATGCAACAAGGAGGAAAATAATACCAGCTTCAGTTCTACACATTATTTCTATATCTTGCTCCCAGTCTGGAAGTGGCTTAAAGTGAGCACCATCTGGACCGAATGGGCAGCTCACATGCTTATTTCACTTGGGGCAATGCTGCAACATCTCTGAGATTACACTTAAAAGAAGCATACAGAAGAAAGGAAAGCTGCTAGCATACCTGTCAGCTCCAGACTTTACTATAGAGAAGTAAATCCATTTTCCAGAAGCTAAGTTAGTGTGATAACCAGAGCTAGACATACAAGAGTTACTTTGAAGAAAGAGCTGCCCCAGTGACCACCCAAACTTATGGCTTTTGGAATAACAATTTCATAAATCCCACAAGAATCGAGCGGCCAATTCTTCAGAATCCATATTATTCAGTCAGTCCCAATCAAGGCAAGTCAGGGTGCCATTATCTTTCACAAACTAAAGCAATGCAGCTCTTGCTTCTGGGATGTAGCCAGCACCTAAAGCCAAGGCCTACGTTACAGACTCTGAGCTCCTATGTATTATGCTGTCATACTGAATGCAACTGAATACACAGGCAAACAAATCCTCATATTTTGTACTAGGATTTCTACCAATCTTGTATTCACTGGTTAAGATAGAATAAAGCGTTTTGACATGCCAAATTGAATTTTTGAGTTTCTTTTGAATATCTAAGCTTTGTGACATATGCCAAGTTGCTTCTGAACTGCTTTCACCTTAAAAAGGTTTTCCACTGAGGACTGCTGTTCAAGGTAAGTGAGTCCAAAGCTTTGCAGGATATGTGAAATTAGTACATGGTTGTTTGGCGCTGGTGCATGTTGATCAACATACTGTAAAGTTAGCCAGACATAGAAATCTGATACACTGCAATTATGCTTCATCTATACAAGTAGCCTAATAAGCAGTTAAGATATTGTCAGCCTCTATTTTATACAAACCTTTCATCCAATTAAAAAAAGTTTAAATCACCTTTCCTTTTTATGCATGAGCATTTTGGTCAATATTATTCATATGAAAAAAAATGAGTCAGGCAATCAGAGACATAATTCACTGTGATGCCTGTGATCTTGTTCCAGAGCTGCAATTGTAGAAGTACTGTAAACAAAACCTATACAGTGGGGTCTTGACTTAAGAACGGCTCGAGTTAAGAACATTTTGACTTAAGAACTGCTCTCATAGGAAAATATTGACTTGACTTACATACTTAGATTTGAGTTAAGAACTGAAAAAAAACCCTATAGGACCACATTCCAAAAGATAAGGACTACCGACATAGACAAAAAGTAGTGTGTGAACATGCCATAATATCACTAAACAAAAGTGAGTGAAGCAAATGGACAGAAGATACAAAGAAGAACATTTTTCCTCCACCATTGTTCACTCCCTAGACCAGGATTTTTAGTTATCAAACTGATGCTACTAACTTACTGGACTAGGAATGGAATCTGGATCTAGACGTTTCGGTGGAGGTGCTGGAGCAGGCTGACTTCCATAATTTGCTGGCCCAGAGAAAGCTGCACCATAATTTGGCTGGTTGCCTCTATTCTGTCCAAAGGACCCTGAAAGACAAACATACAAAATTAATTACAGTGGTGCCTCGCACAACGAGCGCCCCGTAGAGCAATGAATTCGCTCTACGATGACGCTTTTGCGATCGCTAATGCAATCGCAGAGCGATGGCCCCAATGGACGAAAATCGCAGAGCAAAGGTCGGTAAGCGGTTCGCCTACCGACCTTCGCTTTGCGACCCGCCGCTCAGCTGTTCC